GTTTTTTTTTTTAACGTGGTCTCTCCAATAGAATTCTAGTATTTTTTTTTATTTATAACAAATGGCATGTGAATTTCCAAGATGATTATTCGATTTTTTGATTCAATTTTATTTTTTTATTAATCGAATTGATTAGAAAAAAATTAAAATCGAATTAAGATTTGATTTTTTTGATTAAAAAACCAAATTTTTCGATTCGATTTTTTGGTTTTCGATTAAAAACTAATTTTTATATATATTTTTTCTTCTGAATTTTGAATTTTCTCTTAGATCAAGCTGAAAGATCACTTTTTTGTGTTTTTTTAAATTATTTTCAAAGAATGCTAATAGCTTGAAATTGAAACTTTAGCAAAGAAAATTAAAGAAAAATGCTATGATCAGAGCATGTATGGTCTCCTATCTATCAAAAATTCAAATATAACAGTTTGAATAGTGTCCATCTCTAATTAATTTGGTACCAAAGAACTTGTAACCTAATGATAGTGATTTTTTAGAAGAGATAATTGGTTCAAATGCTAGCAGATTAGTTCTGTTAGGAGCATTGTGTGTGTATGTTAAAAAAACACACCAATTCGATTTTCAGTGAAAAATGAATTTAAAAAAAAAAACCAAACTGAACCGAAAAAACTTCAGCTTTTTTTTCCAAATTTATTGAACAAAACCGAACCGAAATTACTAATTCGATTCAATTTGATTTTAACTCGAATAATGCTCATCACTATGAATTGCTACATAAGTATTTAACAAAAAAATGTTTTTTAAAAAATTAATTCCATAAAAAAAATCCCCGAGCCCTTAAAAAAATATTTTTTTATCCCATTTTTTCAGTTTTATCTTATTTTTTTAATTAAAATTTTATCGATAAATTAATTTCATAAAAAAATCCCAGGCTCTTAGAAAAGATTTTTTTATCCTATTTTTTAATTAAAATTTTATCGATACGTGTTACTATTATTTAATATGGTAATCCATCTGTTACGTGTTATCGAAAAATTAACTAAAATTCTATTAAAAGAGTTATACTAAGAAAATGTTTAGAATAAATTCCTTTTTGACAATTAAACGCTTTGCAAGCAAATGAGAGTAGACATTATATATTCTATGATTTTTATTTTTACAAAAGTTATATTGGATTTTGAACTTAGTATTGAATTCTTGACCCTTTTCATAATTCTTTCAATGGATTAAATTTTAGTTTCATGTTCGATCAATGGGCCAGCCTTGTAAGTTGTAAGTGTTCATCTCTGTAACTAGGTCAGCTGGCCATGGTCCCGTTTTTCTGGTCTGCCACATGGACAGAGGTCCAATGTCCAAATGGACCCAATTCAGCACCAAGAAGAAAATCCCAAGGTTGGTTTATGGGACTAAACCAAGAGTTATTAATTTGTTTGGAGATAATGCATGTGGGCATTATAGGTTGCCTAAGTGCTAGTGTTATTTATGGCAAAGCTCGATATTAGATTGTGGATTTAATTACAAAAGGCCCATTTCCCCCTACAAATTACGAGCAACAAGTGATTTGCTCTCCATATCTTATATTATTATAGAAGATTGTGAAAATAAAATTTTCATAAATGTATGATTTTAATACTCGTTAGAATAGCTCCTCATCTTTGTAGCAATGATTAATTTAGTTTATTGTAGTAATATTATTCTCTTCTATTGTTCCGTTAATTACTAACGTTAACTCTTTGATTGTCTAACCATTGTCCGTGGATTGCATGATCCTATTTGTGAAAAAAATGAGGATAGTTTGCTTAAAATCTTATAAGATGTTTAATATTTTGAGAAATGATAGTTGACATAAATTTTGTGGCACATTGCACTGCTATAATGTTTTTTTCTTTATTCTTTTTTATAGTATCTTTAGAAATTATAAATGTATCATTAAGAAAAACATAATCTCACAAATATTATCTACTAAAAGCCTAGACAATTAAAAGAACTTCTATGAGATAATGAACTCCCAGTATTTATTTTCCTCTCGATAAATATGATAAAGATGAACATTATAAGAACGTTGCGGAAGCATAACAATAGAATGAACAAATTGATTATTAAAAGATGTTGTCTATTTATTCTAGGTTAATAGATCCTAACCGAGTTTAGAATCAATTATCAAAGAGTTTGTAACCCAACGATAGTAGTGTCTTGCAACAAAAAGTCATGAGTTCAAATTCGACAGAATAGTTGTGCTAGAAACTTTGGGTGTATGAGTTAAAAAAAAAAAGAAGAACAACTAGTTTAGAATCAAATCTAAGTTATACTTTCTTATAACTTTCATTCCAAGCAAGTTTAAAATCAATCAAAATACCCCAAAGTTTAGCATTTAGATCTGAACATTTACCAATAATGTAGACAAAACCACGAAGCCAAGCTTAATTAAAACTAATCAAAATGCCCCAAAGTTCAGCACTGCTCTAATCTTTAAATGCAAAATCATGTTCGAAGATATTAATATCAAATTGGGAAAATAACTCTTTCAATGACGTATCAGAAGAGTGCTCCTTTCTTTTCTTTTCTTTTTGACCGTAGAAAACAAGAAAGATGAGAGAGCAATTGCTCCAGCAAGAGCACATGGTATTGTGACTGACAATAAATGCAAAAGAGACATTTTTGGCTTCGCTGCTTCTTTATTGGGGCATTCAGACAAACGCAGTTAAAAAATGCCACCACAAAATTTGTCATTTCCAACAATTGATACTGCACTCTTGTTTTTGAAAACTCCCTTCGAAATTGTTATAGGAAACATTTAAATTTATGAATGGAATTGTCACAAGAAAATTTGGAATTTGGCCTGACAGACTGTTACAAGAAAGTTCAAGGAATTAAAGACTCCTCAAAGAGCTAAAGGATGAAAGAATAGATCCTAGTAAGAAATTGTCCTCCATGAGTAATGCCTAAAGGCTGGTGCATCCTCCAAGACTAGTTAGAGTTTCACTGGACAACATGTTCCAAGAGACATCCAATTCACACAAACCTCGTAGATTACCAATGGTTGACGGTAAGAAACCAGTAAATTGGTTATCAGATAGATTTAGTGAAACTAATACAGAAAAAAATACCAAAAAGTTGTTCCGGTATGCTGCCATTGAGGTGATTTTTTGAAAGGCGCAAAGACACCAAGTTTTTACAACCTCCAAGACTGGCAGGATGGTGTCTTGCAATCTGTTATCACCTAAATAAAGGACACTTAACAATGATAGGTTTCCAAGAGAAGATGGATTTTTCCGACAGTCTATTGGAAAGGAATGAAAATTGCTCTAACTTTCGAAGATTACCGAAAAAAATTGGTGTTTCACCAGTGAATTGATTTCGATCCAGTTTTTACAACCTCCAAGACTGGCAGGGATGGTGTCTTGCAATCTGTTATCATCTAAATAAAAGACACTTAACAATGATAGGTTTCCAAGAGAAGATGGGATTTTTCCTGACAGTCTATTGGAAAGGAATGAAAATTGCCCTAAACTTTCGAAGATTGCCGAAAAAATTGGTGTTTCACCAGTGAACTGATTTCGATCCATGCATAGGAAGGTTAAGTTAACTAGGTTCTCTATACCTGAAGGGATCCATCCGAATATCTGATTTCCTGAGAGCCCAAAATAACCCGTCCGGGTTGAATGATTTCCTACTGTAATCAGCAGCGATCCTCCTAATCTGTTGTTGTTAATGCTCACAACTTTCAACATGCTGCAGTTGGTCAGAGAAGCAAGAAACTCCATTTCATCAGGTATTTTTCCTAGGTTATCACTTCCGAAATGCACTCGAGAGAGATGCTGTAGTTTTCCACAAGTATCAGGTATTTTTCCTGTTAAACTGTTATATATATGTAAATGAAACAGTTTCAAGCTCTGAAGCATTGGATAATGAGGTTGGAATCGGTCCTGAAAATTGGTTCTACCATAATGCAAGCTATTGAAGATGAGCAAAAGATAGGCCTAAGTTCGACGGAAGGCTTCGGTAAAATCGATTGTCAGCCAAATAGAAAGTAGTAATCAATGATTAGATTATACAGACATGGAGGGATAAAACCTGAAAGTTTATTTTCACCAAGCAGAAGACTAGTTAATCTCTTCAACAGACCTAGAGCATCAGAAACAGCTCTCTCAAAAATATTTCTTCCCAGAGATAAAGTTTCAAGGGAGGTAAGCTTACCAATGAAGAGCAGTATCTTCCCTTAAATTGTTACGACGAAAAGGAGTATTTTGAGTTTTGACAAGAAACTAAGTTCCATAGGAATTTCACCTCCAAGCATGTTATAATCCATAGAGAGGAACTTAAATCGTTAGGTGAGTTCATGATATGATATTATTTATAGTACTTATTAATACACTTTTCAAGTAAAAATTTTAATATTTAAACTTGAAACTTACATAGATCTTATACTATATCAAAAGATTAACTCACTTAAAAGCTTAAACGATTAAATGAGGCCTCAAAATATAATTTATATTAATCTTTAATAGTTTACGAGTCTTATTTCTCGAAGAAAGATAAAATTTCTCACATAATAAATCTTATTATTATTACTTTTGTTATTAGCTGATGTCATAAGAGTTTTTTTTCTTCCAAGATGATTTTAATTTCTTAATTTTAAAATTTGGCCTTGTTTTTTTTTTTTTTTTTTACCAAATAATAATAATAACAATAATCATTAGAGTTATCCAAGAAAATTAAGAAGAAAATATTTTCTCTACATATGGGCTTAGTAGGGTTGAATTTTGGTTGGAATAGAAAAACGAGCCCAACAGCTATATGGATACAAACAATCTTGCTGGGCTTTGTCACTTATACTTGAAAGCCCTAATCGCCATCCCATGTCAGTAAGTCTAGAGAGAGAAAAAACAGCAAAGCTTCGACCAAGGTGCAGAACGAGAGAGAAACAGAGAGAGAGAGAGAGAGAGAGAGAGACAGAGGTGGGTTGAAGAACACAGAGAAGGATTTTGGCAGTGTTTTTTTTTTTTTTTTTTTTTCTTACTCGAAAAAGAAGAAGAGATATAATGGATGAAGAAGCAGTGGTGAAATTTGTGGAGACATATTTGAAGAAGAAAGGATTCAAGCAAGCAGAGCTCGCTTTCCATGAAGAAATCCAACAACAGCAGAAGCAGCAACAAAGTAACAGCAGTAATGCTATCAATATCCAGTCGGATCCTGATCTCTCTTCTCTCCTTCACTCCCTCTCTCAGTAACTCACCAACCCCACTTTCTCTTTCTCTTTAATTTTTACTCAATTTGATGTTTTTATGGATTTTTTTGGAGTGCAGAGTTCTAAATGGTAAAGATAAAATAATGGGTTTTGGAGTGAGTGAGTAGGCAAGGGGTTTTAGCTGATTGTGTACTGATTTTAATGTTGGAGAAGACAGAAATAGCTTTAATGGGCAATTGGCAATTTTTGTGATTACAGAGCGTTAAGATTTAAGGAAGCATAATGAGTAAAAACTTTGTCTGTTTTTATGTTGTTTAATTTGGAGATATTTGTTTTTGGATTCTTGAATTTTATCAAGATTGAGTTTTTAAGATAATTATTTAGGGTTTTAGCTTAAGTGAAGAGTAAACAGTTTAACATTAACAAATAAGAGCCTTTAACCCACGTTAAGGGAGGAAATTTGTCATCAAATCTGGTTTTATGTTCAACTAATGGAATTTCAATGACACTGTAACAGCTCTTTGTAAAAATTAAAAAAAAAAAGACTTAAAACGATAATGTATGTGAGAAACTCTAAATAAGATCCTAAAATTGATTGGTTGAAAGGGAAGATTTGGAATGAGGATGTGAAAGCGGAAATGGGTCCCGGAAACATTAGAAATGCTCAATTTGGAGATTTTTATCTGCAAAGGAATGAGGAATGTCCTTTTCTTTTTCTTTTTTTCAAGTTGGTTATTGATTTGAAAATTAATTTTATTGTTGTTATTCAGACCAGAGGATAGTCCAGCACGTTACCAAGATGAGTATGGTAGACTAAGGACGTGGGCTTATAGTTCGCTTGATTTGTACAGGGTAAACTAGTCATTGATTTCTCCTTTGATGCATGATTCAATTTTTTTTTCCTCTATTTGTTTTGGAAAATGATTTTTGCACTTTGATAATGTGGGTTGCTTTTGAATTTTGCAGCATGAGTTGCTTCGAGTTCTTTATCCAGTGTTTGTCCATTGCTATATGGATATTGTTGCTAAAGGGCATATCGCAGAGGGTAAATTTTGAAGTTTCTGCCTCTTCTCTTTTGATCCTTATCTTTGAAGTTGAAAATTTCGAAGTGGCTTGTTATTTTGACAATTGTCTCGTGTTTATTTTTCACTATTATCATTTTATGCCCCCAGCAAGAAATTTTTTTAATAGCTTCTGTGAAGATCATGAGATGATGCATTCGCGAGACCTTCAAAAGTTGGAAGGAGTTCTTTCTCCCTCGCATCTGGAGGTTAATACCATTTTAAGATTTTGTGTTACATTTTCCATCCTTAATGTGATTAAATTACTTCTGTAGAAGATCTCATGATTGTGTTTTTTTTTTTTCAGGAGATGGAATTTGCTCATACTCTTAGGCAGAGCAAAGTCAACATCAAGATATGTCAGGTAATTTAATGGTTTTCTTCTGTTAATTTGTAACAAATAAGAACTCTATTCATCAATTTGCACAAATTTCTGAAAAGTTGGTTTTAACCTTATTCTCAGTACTCCAATGAGCTCCTGATGCAGTATCTTCGGAAGTCAAAATCCACTATAATACTTGGGATTATCAATGAGCATATTAACTTCCAAGGTATGTCATTTTGCTTTCAAATTAGTTGCATATGCATGTTTAATTCATGTAGAATTTGGTAGACTCTGTAGATAAGACATGTTCTCTTCTGTTGGCAGTTTCTCCTGGACAGCCCATCTCAATTTCAGATGATCCTGATGCTGTTACGTTGATTGTAAGCAGCCAGGATGCAGCTAATCAGATAAATAAAAAGAAATACATTGGGGGGTGAGTTGGTTCTGCATCCTGATGGTAAACAAGGAAGCTATTAGTTAGTTCTATTGCTTTTGTTTTTTAGGTGTTGATTTTGAGCTTTTTTGTATTGGTATAGTTGCTTGAAGATTCTTTAGAAGAACGCTTGGAGAAAACAGGGGGTTTCCTCTCGGATTCTGAAAAGACAGAAGGAGAAACCAAAGATGGGGACATGGAAGAGAACAAGGTATAATGCTTATCAAAATCATGCTTATTTTTAATTTAAATTCGTATTATATGCTGTTTCTACTTTGTCATATAAGTTATCTTTCCTGTTAAAGCTTGAGCTGTTTCTTTACATTGATGTCATCCATGTCTCATTCAGAAAAGATCAATTGATGGTGGAAAGCAAGGTGCTTCAATCAAAAAGTCAAAAAAGGATAAAGCTGCTAGTGCAACAGCTAAAGTTGTTCGTACTGAGGCCAATACAGTACCTGCAGCACCCCGAGTCAAACCTGAGCTTCCTTTGCCAGTAATGTATTTCCTAGAATCCCATGTCCTTTTCTACATTAGATCAATAGCCTATTTGTGATATATATTATTGGGATATGGAAAGTGGTTATATGTATAAAGTGAAGGCTAAAGAGAAGATAATGCATATGAACATAGGAATCTTGATCCTGGCTCAACCTTATGGCTCCCTTTAATGGACTCTGAGAAGCCTTGCATATTATACATGCAGGAATTCTTACTCAACAAAGCTTTTTCAATAAACTAGTTCACACAATATATTTTACATCAATATATTACAACTACAGTCATGACATATCATTTGTGCATTCAGGTGTGTTTGAATAAAATGGACGTGTCCTTTAGGCATGTTATGAGGACATGCAAGGTAATAAACTCACTTTAGTTAGGTGTTAATAAACAGGAGCCTGCACTGATGTTTAATAACGCCCATCTAAGGTAATTTGTTGCTTTACATGTCCTCAATGTGGCTGTGACTATGAGCAGAAGCTAGGTTTTATGGAGAATTGGTATTCAAAATAACTTTACTGCTCACCTGTATCAACTAGATTAAGAAGGGCTTTGCATGCATTACTTCTTGACTGTTCAAGCACTTTTTTCACTTATTCCTTCTCCTCCCTAATTTTATTGCTTTATCGTATTATCACGCTTTATCATTGACCTTTGGGATCGAATTAGGTTCATACTTCATTCTGCACATCATCTGAACTTGGTCATGCTTCATTGCTCAGATGACTATAGTTTATGCTATGTTTCTGCTATAAGGCTTTTGCATTACTTTAGGTCCTGCAGGAATAAACTATTGATTCTCCTGCTAACATAAGTTAGTGCTGCATTATATATTTCTGATAATTAATAAATTAACGATTCCTTCAGGCCAACTGAGGTGGAACAGTCTATTCTCGAGGACTTGAGAAACCGTGTACAGTTGAGTAGTGCGACACTGCCATCTGTTAGCTTTTATACCTTTATCAACACGCATAACGGGTAATGTCATTACTTATTTCTTTGTATTAAGCTTCCCAAATTCTTTTACATGATTGATTGCTCATTATTTCATTTGGGATCTCTTCCAGTTTAAACTGTTCTTCAATATCTCATGATGGATCCTTGGTTGCTGGTGGATTCTCAGACTCCTCACTGAAGGTTCTCTTCTTCTACTTAACCCAGCACCTATCATGTTAGCCAATACTGTTGCTAATTTTGATTTGTGCCTTTATAGGTTTGGGACATGGCAAAGCTGGGACAGCAAGCTGGTAATTGTAAGTTTCTCCAAGCAGGGATTAGTTTGTTGTATAATTTCTTATCTCTTCAATTCCAGCAGCTGGTTTTGAGTACAATACAAATCATCTGACAGTTTACTACTTGTTTAAACCGTATTCTTGACAGAATTAAATGCTGACATTTGATGAAGTATTCTGTGCATTATTTGTACACTGATTATCTGTTCAGAATTTTTTGCAATTATAGTCAAGCCAAATAGCAACTACAAGGACATATGATGAAAAAACGCTGTAGATGTTAGCCAGTCATAGTCCAGGATTCAATATCATTGATGCAGGACAGCTTAAGGGGCTGTTCTGAACCTGAATTTCAGAGGCTTTTTAGGGCTTTATTGAAGTGAATTTCTGCTAGGAATTGTAGAAACTTAGAGTCACGCTAATAGGGTTTCTAGAAGTCACACCTTGAGGATAGAAAAACCTAAGCTTCACACCCAGGATTCTTAGGAGTTCACCTAAGGGAGATTGAGTCACACAATCAAAAGCAAATTGCTGGAATTTTATTTATAAAGTTCAACTTAAAATATTGAAAGACTAGGTGCTTATTTATAGAGTTCTAGTGGTCTATGTAGAATAGGAGTTACACCTATGGACTTAGATTCTGAAATAAGAAAATAATACTAAGTCTATGTAGAGTAGGAAAAACCTAATAAAGCTAATTATTCCTTAGGACTAATAAAATACTAAATAGAAAATAAAACCTAGATCTAGATAATTTCCAGATTTTCCAGAAATTACAGAAATATCCTTGTCTACAAAAAGACAAGTTTTGCTTCCATTGTTGTCCGCATCAATCCTTCTGATATGGTTGTACATTATGGCCATGCATAGATGCTAGTTTTCATGTTTAGACATAATTGGCAAAGAGGACCTATGATGGTAAACATTTCTGCTGTCAGCTATTTTGCAGGGTGAAAATGATACTGCTCCAAGCGAACATGTCCTGGGACCAAACAGTGGCAAGAGATCTTATACATTGTTTCAGGGTCATTCAGCTCCGGTTCATTCAGCCACTTTTAGCCCTCTTGGGGATTTTATTTTGTCTTCTTCAGCAGATACGACAGGTATATTCTCTTGGTTATCATTTCATTGCCAATCTCTCTATCTACCTGCACACATAAATGCTTTCTTTTAATAATGATTTTCTTATCTAAACAATACACTGCTTTACTGTAGTTCGATTATGGAGTACAAAACTCAATGCAAATCTTGTTTGCTACAAGGGCCATAATTACCCTGTATGGGATGTTCAGGTATAAATTGGACCTTCTGCATTTCATTTTGGTTCGATTTTATTGTTTTATCAGTCCCTTGTCATATGATAGTCATGTCGAAAGTGAGGAGATTATAGAGGAGATTTCCATAATACTTCATGGTCATGCTTCTCATACTTTCTTTCTAATCTATTGGGGTGCAGTTCAGTCCTGTGGGACATTATTTTGCCAGTGCTTCACATGATCGCACGGCCAGGATTTGGTCAATGGATAGGATACAGCCTTTGAGGATAATGGCAGGTCACTTGTCTGATGTCGATGTAAGTTGTTTTTACATTCTATTTATTTGTCTCGTAGTCTGGAATTTGGATTCAATAAAATGGTTTGTGAGATTTAAATAGAAGACATGGGTAAAATGCTTTCTTCAAGTTAACTTCCCTCGGTAGATTTGTGTTTCATCCAAGAACAAATTTATCATGTTGAGCTTGCTCTATGTATGATATTTAGTCAGCAAATTTTAGTTAACTGAGTTACTTTTGATTTCTAATTTTGCAATATCAATTACATTGAACTGGATTACATATATTTCAGTGTGTGCAATGGCATGCCAACTGCAACTACATAGCCACTGGCTCCAGTGACAAAACAGTTCGGCTGTGGGATGTACAAAGTGGGGAGTGTGTCCGCATTTTTATTGGTCATAGGAGTATGATTTTGTCATTGGCCATGTCACCTGATGGTCGATATATGGCATCCGGTGATGAAGATGGCACAATCATGATGTGGGACCTCTCAAGTGGCCGCTGCATATCACCTTTGATGGGACACAATTCATGCGTGTGGTCACTTGCCTTCAGGTACACATCCTAGACACCAAAAGAAATTTTTGAAGAATTTTTTGGACTCCGTTGATAAAGTTTTAGTTGTTGATAGCTCTATTATTAATATAATCTGTTACCTGAATGTCAGTTGTGAAGGTTCTCTTCTCGCATCTGGTTCAGCTGATTGTACGGTAAAATTATGGGATGTAACTACAAGCACAAAGGCTGCAAAGACAGAAGAAAAGTAAGTTTTCCTGTGAGAGTGGCTCTTCTTTTTGAACTATTTTCTTGCAGGGTCATTTACAGTATATGTTTCATGTGATCAGCAAAAGCGGAAACACAAACAGGTTGAGATTGTTAAAAACTTTGCCGACCAAGTCTACTCCAGTTTATGCTTTGAGGGTAATTCTCCAAATGCTCAAGTTCTTCAACATGATTTCCTTTCTTATTTATTATGCCTTTTGACATATATAACTTTGTACCATATTCCTGGAACAGTTTTCGCGTAGGAATCTCCTTTTCGCTGCCGGAGCCCTCTCTAAACCGACCACCATTAAAGCATGATGTGACTGAATATAGCTTGACAGACTGAAAGTGGTGCAAATTTCCCTCAGCAAAGCTAGTATCAGCTCACATTTAATTTAATAAGTTGTAACAAAATCAAAATTGTTGTACAATCTTATATGAGTTATGACACTCCTCTTTTTTCCTTTTTCCTTTTCCTTAGCTTGGCACATAGTATATCGAGCAATTTGCAAGGTTGTTTATAAACATCCACTTATTAGTTCAACTAGAGTGGAAGAAGTAAAGAAGCCCCTCATTTTTCCAAGCAAATTTCCTGGCTTTATGTGCTCTGTCATGCTCTTAAGTGCCTGGTCTGAATAGCAACATGTTATGCATAAATGATAAAATATATTGGGGTTTCCAAATTTTTCATAAAAGCTAAAGCTGCAACCGATGAATTCCACTGGATCAACAAGTTTTCATGGACTCATTTGATCATTTTTTTCTCTTCAATCATAACAATCAATATAATCAAGCTCTCAATTATGAACCACACAGGGAAGCAAGGTCCTTCGGCAAAATCTATGAACTTGGGACCCGTTTCTAACCGTTGAACCCCTTCCTAAATTTGGCAAAGTCAGCATGTACAACCTTGGGCCGGGTTTGCGCAATCCTTGAAAGAAAACAAAAACGAAAGGATGAAATCACGTGTCCCAAAATGCTCTGTTCTGAAAAAATAAAAAATAAAACAGTACTTCCCTGTTCCCACAACAGTACAGATAACGGTACAAAGAACTGGAAGAACAGTACTTCCCAGTTCACAAAACAGTTCAGATAACGGTACAAACAACAGTTGGGATTTGGGAATCATCCCTCTGTTTTCCCGCCATAGCACTATTTTGTGTCTCCTCACCAGTCATAAAACAAGTGGATACACAGTCTCCAAATATTGCCATACAAGTCTATGCACCTAAACAAACTCAGTCACTGAAAAGAACACAAGGTATGTAATATTTCTGAGTCATTTTTCCTCCAAAGATCTAGTAAATTTCTGGTCATTTTCCCTCCTAAGATCTAGTAATATTGCGTGCGGATTTTTTCAGCATCTCCCCTTTGTTTCCATGCAAGATTTAGAGGCTTTCAAAGCAGATGTATGCTGGGATGTGTGTCCGGTTATTGGTGACAACTTGAGTCCTTGTATCTGCACAAGTTTCATGTAAGTGCTTGCTTTCTCTTGACATAATAGAACATTATTAAAGTTGTACTTGAAATTTGTTAATGGGAGAAGATTTCTGCTGCTTTTTTTCTATGATTTCATTGTTTATAAATACCTTTCCATTCCTTTTGGTTTTTACTTTCTCTTCTTCGGGGAGGTAATGAAACCCTAGACCCATAAAAACAAGACTTGAAAGTAGGCATGAGGCAAGCTTGTCTACATAAGCAACATGCTTGGTCATACGCCTGGAAGAGAAAATTATTATAAGAGAAAGACATAATTTCAGCCATCTGATTTCTTGACAGCTCCAACGAGAAAAAAAAAAAAAAAAGGCTAAAAATCATAACCAACAGCAAACCCTAAGCTCGTTGTTATTTTAATGGCAACTAGGAATTGTCATCTCTTGCAAATTATATGTTGATCTGGTACAGCACAAACCTACAATCATTCAATTTAGACTGATCACAACATAGAATGGACACATTGGAAACAAGAAAACTATCAGAATTGAGTAGAAATCATGAATTGCATTCATCTAGTAGAATGCCTTTAATGTGTATAAGTATTGAATCTTTAATAGATGAGCAAATTATTCTTGGGCATAATTGTAAGTGAATCATTTGCAATCATGCACCATTCAGAGGATAAAATGGTTTGTTAATAGATTAGAAAATAAAAAATCATGTTGAGATTAATACCTCGAACACAAAGGTAACACATAGTTCATGTGAAATAACTTAAGCTTAATCCCCACTCACAAACTAACTGCAAAACACTTTGAGAGATAACTATGCTTAGAACCAACAATACATTTTGATACCAGTAGATAGATATCAAGCAATACAAGTATTAGAATTCTATAAAATCTCCTAAATTTACTTGAAGTAGACCAAACAATATCCAAAGATACAAGAAACACCTATATTGACATGGTTTTGCATGACACAGTTTTGAAAACAAATTGTCCTTCTAACTTAGGAAGCTATTAAACTAGAAAAGACATTCAAATGAGATTAAAACCTCCAACTTCCAAGCACATTTCTAGCTTCCTTAGAAATCTCGACAAGATACCTCCAAATGCAAAGAAAATCTTACAATCAACATACTAGTACACTTATCACCATTGGACCATGGTGCTCAATCATGGCTTCTTTTTTTTACTCATAGGATCATTATGTCACTTAAAGAGACAAAGGATTTAGCGACAAGAGGATTTTTAAACTTTTTGAAGAGTTCAAAGAAGTCTCCTTGCATTTAACTATTCCTAATTTCAGCATAGAAATACATTTAACGCTGCTAGGATGAGGATACAAACCAATTGGCAATTTGCTCACCAAAACAAACTTGGGCACTAAAAGAACATAAGCCATCGTCATTTTTTTCTTCAAATATATAGTAAAAATTGCAAACAATTTTTTTCATCATCTCTCCTCTCTTTCTGTACAAGATCTTTGAAGGCTTTTAAAACTAATGTATACTAGGGCACTTATGACAAGTTGAGTCCTTGTATCTATACAAATTTAATGAAAGTCACCAATATCTATATGTTTTCTCTTGCATAATGTAAAAACAATTAAATACATACTTGAAATTTGTTAATTATAGAAAATGTGTGTTGTTGATTTCTAATATTTCAATGTGATTTTGTATATGTACTTTTGAATTCATTTGATCTCATTGATAGAGGTAATGAAACTCGTAGACAATGTTTTATGTAATTCACAAGAAAACTAGACCAAGAAGTAGGCACAAGGCAAGCTGACATAAGGCAATATTCTTGACCGTATGCCTACAAGAGAAAGTTCTAATTTCTGTGAACTCCACAAAGAAAAAAGTGAAAATTTTAAACCAAGTAGGAAACCTTAAGACTGTCAGTTTAGATTAAAGAAAATCAAAGAGACAAAGGACTTAGCGACAATGGGAATGTATATTAGGGCACTTGTGACAAGTTGAGTCCTTGAATCTATACAAATTTAATTAAAGCCATCAGTATCTGTTTGTTTTCTCTTGCATAATAGAAAAATAAACACACAGTTGAAATTTGTTAATTATAAAAAATCTATGTTGGTGATTTATAATATATCAATGTAATTATGTATATATACCTTTCTATTCATTTGGTCTTGTTGGTAGAGGTAATGGAACTCTAGAGAAATTTCTCTGTAATTCACAAGAAAACTAGACCGGAAAGTAGGCATAAGGCAAGCTGGCAAGAGACAATATTCTTGATTTTATGCCAACGAGAGATTTGTAATTTCAGCGAACCCCACAAAGAAAAAAGTTAAAAATTAAAACCAATAGGAAACCTTAAAATTGTTAGTTTAACTGCAATTATGAATTATCATCTCTTGAAAATTATATGCTGATATAGTGCACCACAATCAAGCAACCATTGAAGTTAGGATTGATCACTACATAAAATGAACACAGTTCAAACAAGGAAACCATCAAAATCAAGTAGAAATCATGAATTGTATTCATCTAGTAGCATTCATAGAATGTGTGCAATTATTAAATTTTCGATAGGTGAACAAATTATTGATTCTTAGGCATGATTGTAATTGATCATTTGCAACCTTAATAGTTTGAAGGGAAAAAATACCTCTTGAAATTAAGACCTTGAACAAATAGATAATGCATAATTTTATAAACCAATGAGATGATAGTTCATGACAGAGAACTTAGGCTTTAGGCTTTAGGAGTTTCAGAGCCCTTGTACAATCCTCAGCCCATAAACTACAAAACAATAGAAACCAAATTTTGCCAACTAGTAATTGGTTCTAGTGTCGATCGACGTATATGGAGAGAATTAAGCATCATTCGACATATTTAGAGAGATAATTATAATACTTATAAACTGGCAATATATTTTGATATACCAATGGATAGCAATCAAGCAATATAAGTATTAGAATTTTGTAGAATCACCTAAATTTGCTAGAAATAGAACAAACTATATCCATAGAGGAAAAACTCATCATTCAAAACTATCGCCTTGATATAGTTTTACTAATCTATAGCCCTTGGATATCAGCCTTCATGATATATCTATGGTCATACTTTTAGCTTAAAAGGTGTTAGCTTTTGTGTGCTTAGGTAAACGATCAAATGAAAATTAAAGCCTCTGGCTTCCAAGCACATTTCTAGCTTCCTTGGCATCCTCGAATGCATGAGAAAACTTACAATCAAGACACAAGCATGCCTAGTACCCTTGAGCCATGGTGCTCAATAATGGCTTCTTTTTTTATTCAGAGGATCATTATATCGCTTTTGATTGTTTATTAAAGTTCGTAGCATAGAAATACATGTAGTGTTTCTAGGATGAGAATAAAACAAATTGGCTGATAGGAGTAGTTTAAAGGAATACCAAAACGAAAGGAAAAAAAACTTAAGATGATAAGTAAATTATGAAGTTGGTTTAAACATACCATTTGAACCATGAATTGATCTAATTTAGTGTGCATTTTGGATTGCAATCTAAATGTTCCATGTTTAACTATGATCAAGACATGATGATATAAGGTTTGAGAAATATTACTAGGCTAGGATGGTTGACATGCAAGTGATGATTGCCTTCTCAAGAGCAAAAAAAAAAAAAAAAAAAAAGTGGCGGAAGAATGAATGGATGGCTAGCATTTTAATTGGAAGAAGAGATGGGTAAGAGTTAATTTAACTAGAAATAGGAAGATATAGATAATTATTTAGAATAATTTTTAGATAATATTAACTAATATAAGCACTAGAATTCAAAAGGTTTGGTAGAAAAATAAATAGGAAAACCGATTTATGAACAGTGGGAAGGGAACATTGGTCAAGTATCTTTTGGAAACATATTCTTGATGAACAATGCTAAGGGAACATATTTTGGCTTTTTGCCATAGTATTTTGATTTTAGAAACTAATTAAAGGAACTTTGACCAATAGTTGAGGGAGGTTCTGTACAATTTAGCCTAAAATCAACAGCTAGAGTGCTGTTTAATGTTGTCACATGTTATCACAAGAAGTCCCTAGCTGTTTAATGTTGTCACATGTAATTACAAGAAGTTGATTGAGGTTTTGAGGATTGCGATGGTAATACTCATATAGCATGCCATTGTTGATTTGTATATAAAAAAAGTGGGCTGAATTAAAATAATAGGTATTAAAGACTAACACAAATCTTTGCTCATCTTCCACATTGGTCATCCTTCTTTCTCTGTCACTATTATTCTTATTTTTCCAACTCTTCTCTCTTAAAGTTACGAATAACTTGTGGCTAAGCAAGGAGGAGGAACAGCGTAAAACATGAACAATAAGTTTGTTTAGTCTGTCATACCTAATTACCTAAAACCTTAAACCTAGAAGCATGCATGTTAAGCCCTTTATTTTCTTTAACAATGCAATCAATTTTCTCTCAACAACAATGACCAATCATTAAATTCATGATTTGACACAATTTTTTTATAATAATTAAAAATATATTTCAAACTAATTTTTACAAAACAAAGAATTTTCCTTCTTTCCCTTCATTGCAAGTGAAACTAATTCTGAACAAACGGGATATATAAGCTTCAAAGTGTAACATGATCCAAACTATGGTACTTTAGATATAACATCCGTTTTGTGTTTATAGGCTGCATTAACTTGCATGGTTGTAGGACAAAATTGAATTACGTAATGTTTTGTTGCTACCCCAAAATGTGAAAAACTAATGCTCTAGCAAATTCTAGCAAATAAATGGTTGTAATTGATTAGAGCAAGAGATCACGTTCTATATAATCTAGTTCAGTTGTCAATCTGGATAGGTAGATTTAGGAAAATCTAAAGTACAAACAAGAAATGTAAATCAGATTTCCTAAGACAAACGGTTTGATCGTATTACAACTTTTTTTTTTTAGACATTTAATTTGAGTTCTATTCTGCAACTCTTTTTTCTTGGACAAAAACATAAAAAGTCTATACTTGTACGTAGGGTGTTATTTAATTCTTAAAAAAGAAAACAAACGAATGTTGTTGAGACCAATGTCCCCATAAAAACTTTATTCTGATGAGTAAATTGAAATCAATGAAACATATTGAAAGCAAACCTCAAAAATAAACTAACCTTAAAATTCCTTCGGGTACTGAATGATCAAATTACATACAAGCTTATGCACCTGTCATAATTTAACAAGTAGAATTGTATTGAGAAAGGCGATACATAAATCAATTCAACAGAACACAGTAATGTAAAAACGTAGATAACACTATTACACAAAATCAACAAGAATGATCAAATGATGGGAGCAAAATCGATCTCACAACTAATTTTTTTTTTGAAATGAAAGTCAATCTATATATTAAAATGAATAGAGCCAGCACGAAAGTGGCTAAAAGAAGAGTTTAGAATACGAAAAAAATAAAAAATAGAAAATCTAAGTGACATTCTTCCAAAAAAAAGAGCTAAACTAAACTAAAACATCCATGAAAGATGAACTATCTATTCTAAGGGCTCAATTGGTGAGTTCTTGAAGAATTTATCGACATTTTGATTTCATTTGAGCTATGATGCAGATACGGAGAATAGACAGAATGATCATTAATATATCTAGCCCAATGCGTTACTCTATTAAAAAAGAAAAAGAAAAAGAAATCTCTTAGTTATAATGGTCAATTTAATAGAAATGCTAAAATTAATACACTACTCACAGAGATTCAATTCAACAAATTCACCCTGACTTCCTGTCCCTAAAACTATAATCATACAGTAAAACAACGGCACTGTTTCCTTTTTCTGACCTCTCCATAGGGATGAGGAGGCAGTGCAACTGGAATCGTGCATGGAGTAGATCACCAATATAAAGAAGAAGTAAATGTCATCATCAAATCCGTCATTTACTCTACAGAAATGGTAAATTTGAAATTTGAAGCTAGGAGCTGTGAGAACCCGAGAAAGATATTGGATCAGAGAATTTCAAACTATTTTGGTTTAGTGGCTTGATCTAAGGATTTTCTTTATTTGTTGCATTCAGCCATGCAAAATGAGAAGAAAACTTTATTGAAGGAGGCCTTCAGAGTCTCCATAATCAGAGAAGAAAAGACCATGATTAGAAAATGACTTCTGAGGGAGTTCTACTCTTCTGCATACACATTAATCATCTCCTGTTCAATTTTGTAGAGAAGAGACTGGCCTGCTTGTAAATTAAGCAGAGATTGACATGTACCAAGACCATGAATAGTGCCATGCATGTAGTCTGAAGGTCCTAAGATGTTTATTTTACTAGGTATGCATGCACGCCGCACCTAACTAGCTATGATTCTACCAATGCGTGCCAATTTTGTACGAGGTTAATGTACAATCCAACCTTATCTACCGAATAAATATTCTCCCTTTGTCCTAAGGTGTGACCACTAGGCTTAAACAATCTCCCTTGTCCAAAAGTTTCCCCAGGATTGATGGTCGTATCTTACCTGCTTAACACTATTCATGCATGGATAACACTTGCCATAAACCTGACTTTAATTTTGAGCACATACATTTGATAAAATTAAAAATTTGTCTAAGTTTAGTTTTTATTTTCTATTTAATATTGTATACATTGGTCCTAAAGAGTAATTAGGTTTTTCCTATTCTACATAGACTTAGTACTTTTCTTATTGGATTTAGATGGCTAGAACTCTATAAATAAGTATGTAGACTTTCGATGTTATAAATTGAAGTTTATGAATAAAATTTCCGCAATTTGCTTTTGTTTGTGTGACATAATCTCTTTTATATGTGACTCTTAAGAACCTTATATGTGAATCTTAGGTTTTTTTTTTTTATTCTTTAGATGTGGCTCTTAGAAACCTTATTAGTGTGACTCTAGCTAATTGTTTCTCCAATTCTTAGTAAAATTCTACATCAATACAACAACCTCCAAAGCCGGATCCAAAAAAAAAAAAAACCCCAAACGCTCTCCTGCATCATCGGCATTGGAGCTTCAAGATTCTAAAAGCTTTTGTTTGCAATCAACTTGGAACATGTTGACCAATAACCTGCCTGATCAAATAAGTAGAGATACTAAAAGCTTTTGTTTGCAATCATCTTCAAACATGTTGACCAATAACCAGCCTAATCAAAGAAGCAGGCAATTTGGCCCACAACTCATGGCTGGTAATGTCATTCAAAAAGAGCAGTTAGATGTTCCTGATTTTGAAGACAGAATAGATCCTATTTTATTCAATTATTGGATTAGGTCTACGGAAACATTCTTTAGTTGGTATCATAAGTCAAATGAATGGAGAGTAAGGTTTGCCAAGATGCAACTAGTTGGGTTAGCTAAAAATCGGTGGTATCATGTTGATTAAGAAATAGATAGACGGAGACAGCCATCTATTACTACTTGGGAAGAGATGAAAGTTATACTTGAAGAGAGGTTCTTGCCATCTAGTTATCAACAAAGGATACACAAGAATGCCTACAGCACACAGTAAATCAGCTTGTTAAATGCCTAATTACTTAGAAAACAAAGGGAGGAAATTTGAAACAACAGCTGCAACAAGGAGAAAACCAGCAACTTTTAAGAGCAAAAAAGGTTTGCATACGGGAAGCACAACCACTTATTCAACCTGAACAACAATGGAAAACCAGCAAGAAGCTTAGAAGGAATTTAGCAATGGACTAACTGATTCACTAGTCGCAATTTTTTGCACATGAGAAAAGTTGAGAATTGGGTGTTTGAATGGAATGTGGATGGTTCTTCTTTGGAAAAACCAGATAGTTCTTGTATTGGTGGGATACTAAGGAATCATGAAGAAAAATTCTTATGTATCTTCTCATTTTCTACTGGTATTAAGGATTCCAATGATGCTGAGGTTCTAGCTGTTAATAAAGCCTTGGAGATAAGTTCATCCCATCATTTTTCTCATGAGATGAATTGGATCATACAAACTGATTTAGCAAACACAACATTTTAGGTTCATCAAAATGCTAATGAAGGGCCATGAAAATGCATAATATTTATATGAGTATCGATTCTTGTATTCATAATCTGAAGTCAATTAATTTTAGTATAATTAATAGAGACGATGATATAGTTGCTGATAGTTTGACTAAGGAATGGATAGATAGGAAAGCTATCTTGCTTGGCTCTAGTTTTTTTCGTTTTTACTCTATAATCTTTTTCTTTTCTTTTCTCATCGACTAGATGACTCTCTTCATAATCTAATTGATTTTCATAAAAAAAAAAAAAAAAAAGACTTGCAACCAAAAGGTCATAAAAAGCAAGCAGCAACAATAGAGAAGGATGTTGAACGTTTAGATGAGCAAAGGCAGCATTTAAAATTTTCAAATTGGAATAAAAGGAGGCAGGAAGAACATGCTTCTGTTGATAATACAAAATCTGGAATTGCTTCCCAAAATGAAGATTCAACCAAAAACAAAGAAATTTCAAATTGACAATGATGTGGAGAGAGAAAGAGAAGAAAAAGAATTCTCTAATCAGTTTATTACAAAGCCTAAAGAGCTCGTTAGACTTGATGGAGCTGAACCGAAGGAGGAACATGGGATAGAAAAGGAAAAGTGGTGTTGACAACACAAGTGGACTTCACTATTCCTGATTTAAACAAGAGGGTTCGTTAATCATTTAAACAAATGGTTTTGAAGTCGAATCTTTATATACATAAAAAACTCTTTTGTCCATATGATAAAACAGTAAAAACTTAATTTAAACTTTTAAATCTGAGATACTCTGAATTAACAAAAAAAAAAAAAAACTAAAGCTAAAACCTCCTGATTCTCTATGCTTTCTATCTAGAAAAATATGGTTAATTTTTTTTTTTGGATTTATTCAATGATAGGTTGGCGAAATTTATAATGATGCGCAACAGATTATCTAAACAGAATTGGACAACATCATCGTCTTGTACATAAAGAAGCTCGAGTACTTATCAAAGTTAAAAACAAAGACTGAGAAATAAATGAGATTGTCACATACACTTCCATTACTTCAACATGTTATACTAAGATTCACATGCCTGTTCTTCTAATTTGAAATAGACAAAACGAAGGTTGTGTTCGAGTTCAATTTTCTTCAGCTTAATTAATTTAATGATGGTAACAGTATCAAAATTATTAATGTCTTTCAAAATTCATGCTGCTTCAAACCTTTTCACCATCCTTTGTTCTTAGAAACTATATAAAATTCCCATCAACTTTTTAATCTAAAAACTTCTCAACCAACTGCCCTCTCATGTTTAGGTGCATCCACCAACAACTATTCAATATTTCTGTGTCTAGCAAGACCAGATTAAGGTAACTTCTGGCCAGGTCCTTGCTATATTTAATAAGTAAATTCACGGTGACTGCTGAAATACCTAACTTATGTTCCAACTACCTCAATAACATAAAAGAGTAGTTCTTTTTGCTTCCTAGGATGTCCTCAGTCTTTCCAACTAAAACATCTTGATAATGTAAACCCCAGATTATTCCTAAAACTCTCCCACAAGTGATGACGACGACATTTAAGTCACATATTTATGTGAAAAACCAATCATGCATCTTGTGCAAGAGATGATTACATGTAACAAAAGCTTTCACACAAAGTATTTCACAAATTGAACTTCTGGAAGAAGTTCGGTATCGCTTTAGAATCCAAGAAAGAAACTAAAAGTTCATGTTCATGAGATTGGAATTAAAAAATGAATACCTTGTCAACAATTGATTTATTAGACACTCCATGGACTATCACCATTTGTTCTCTAAAGCAATCGAAAACCCATAAGCCAACATAAGAACGAGTCGTAGCTCCAAGACTATCACATTTTTTATACTCTTGGTGATGACCCTGCCATGATATAACAAATAAAATGTTATACTATAATTTAATCAAAACACAGAAATTAGAGATCAAGTACTCTTTCAGATTCTACGTAGAAAATAATGAAATTTTCTTGCAGTGTGGCAAAGAGTTCAATCAAATTTATATGATTGTTGCTGAAAAACTAAAAATGATAGTGACAACAAAACATCAAGATGCAAAATCTGAAAAATTTTGAGAAATTTCTGTAATTGTTTAATACCAACTCATGCTGCATCATAATTTATAGTTTATGAAGAAGACTAATTAAGAAGAATAAGGTAGAAGTAGAACAAAATAGAAACTTCATAGCTTTTTCTACTCTTGGCAAGAATCTTGAAGAGTATCTTGATGTGAATCCAGAATAGAAGAAACTGGTTGATGCTTTAATTTGAAAACAAGAATGTTCACAAGCCATGTAAGAAATTGCTTAGATCTGCAATGCAAGAATCACAAAACAAGATGGATCTCTGAGAGATGATTCAAATTGTAATCCTTAATTTAGCAAACCAATGAAAAAAATAATAAAGTAGAGATTACACTAAGCGAACTACGTTAGAGACATAAATTACAAGTAAAAAAACTGCATAAAATAAACACAAGTCAGAGCTATAAATGCTTACAAGCCTGCTAGTACTTCGAAACCTGTTTTTGACCAGATTTTGTCTCTTCCATAATAAATAATTGACCACTCCACGGCCTATCTGCAAAAGGCTCAAAAAAAAAAAAAAAAAAACACAACAAAGAGAAACTATGGCTGCAGAAATTTCCTATTTCTGGAAAGAACATTACATACGATAATTTAAAGATTTCATTACATCAAACCAAACATGTGCACACTAACAAGAATAAAAATATAAAACAAAGCCCATTTCCAAGAGCCAATGCAAAATGATCAGATCAGTTTTTTATCAAGAGCAAGCAAAAGACTACTCACCACAACTCCTCCCTGCACTAGCTAGTATAGATTAGAAGCAACCTTATTCGTAGCTAGACTAGCTAGGGTTTTGAACCCTTAAAAGGGAAACCCATTTTCACAAACAGTGCAAGCTACTAGATTCTTGCTAGATTCAGGTGAAAACAAGGACAAATCATATTCAAATCTCGAGTACATAACATAATCGCATGCGCAAGAGATAAAAGGAAAGGATAAGGAAAAGGAAAAGAAGGGTTTTTGCTTTGCGATAAAGGACTATACTCAGAAAAACTTAGCTAGAGATAACGTGAATGAAATGGTCCCATGCTATATATATGCTACTCTACACTGTTTTGCCGCTATAAAATGCACAGTAATCGGGCTTAAGCACCATCAAAAGCCACGCCATTAAACTAAACTATAATTTAAAACACATCATAAACTAATCAAGATTCAAACAGAAAAAACGAAACACAAAGTGGATATCTTGCTGCTTGTTCTCCATCTTCTGCCTACTATGCACCACCATCTTCTTCTTTCAAGTGTTTGGGTGTGTAAAGAGAGGGGAAACGGTTAGATAGGAAGGAATTTCTGGAGCAAAAATAACAGGCCGAATTCCGGCTCTGGAAGGTGACAGAAAGAGACGTGAGCACGCAAAAGCAATGGTATAGATTTATACAAATATGCCTCTGTGTGCTCACTCTCTTCTGTCAATTTCTAATGTCCAGAAGATGAAAAAAACAAGCAAAACCTTTTTTTTTCTTTGTTTTGAGTTCCTGAGTGAAAGATATAACATACCCAAAAATGGAAAGGAGAGGAAAAGGAGGAAAGAAAGCATAAAATGTACAAAAGAATGAGTCAGATCTGAGAAACAAGCGACACCCTTTTTAAGGAAAGTTTCGAAAATATCTACCTACAATTAATTGATCGCCTCTCTTTTTCTGTCAAAACTCAATCAAGATTTAGGGTTTCTATCTACCAAGAAACCAAAAGAAACAAGAGAGAAAGACAAGAAAACAAGAAAGAAGAACCCTTGTTGCATCTCTTCTTCTCTACTCCCACACACACACACTCTCACTTGGCCAAAAGAAAGAAAGGATGTAGAGAGAAGCTAAAACTGCTTGGCTTTGTATAGTAGGAGTCCATCACTTTCTCTCTTTCTTTCTTCTCTCTCCGTCATGCAGGATGTACAGGTGTCGGTGACACGTACACAAGTGTCCTTTGCCTCTAACAAAATGTACCAGTTCGTGTAGACGCACGCCCAGCCACTCATAGAAGATCGAGTAGTTTTCCCAGCCCCAAAATTTTTACCAAAAAAATACAAACCCTATAAAACCCAGCATATAAAAACAAGAAAAGTAAAGAAAAACAAGGGTTAAGTTTTCTGGTTTGGATTTTGTGGGCTTGCTTGGGTAAATACGGATAGATTTTTTAAGAGAGTACAGTTCCCGAAGCTTTTTCGAGAAAGCAAAAGAAAAGAAAAGAAGCTTTTGATTGGTTGGTGGAGATTGTTTTAAGGGGTAGTAGTACGTATGTGTTGCTTTCATTGATGCTAAACCAAGAATTTGATTGATTTACATATAGCCGTTTGATTTGACTTATTTTCAAAACTCTATTCCCTGCCGTTAGATTGTCATTATTGTGGGTCCAATTTCTGGGTCATGTCTTCTTCGAAATTGGGCTTGATGCCGACTGCGGTCATTAGGGAGACAGGCCATTGTTCTTGGCTTTCTTGGGGTTTCTCTCTCTCTCCCTACAGCATAATATGGCAGCAAACATTATTTTTAGGAGTAAATATTTCATTGTGTAAATATTATAAACATGATTTTTTTTATTACGTTTGGTGTTGGACCAGTTTTTTTATGCATCATTGATTTTAGAAGGTTTCGAAACTTTCATAATACCTAGGATTAACCTCAAAAAAAGTCCCCGATCTATGAGAAAAACTCGAATGGGTCCCCGACCTTTTTTTTTTTTTTTCATATTGACTAGGGCTTCATGTATCGAGGGATTCTCAATTTGATCCTCCTGCTAGTTTCAATTAACAAATTTCTTCAAATGATCACTTGAAATTCATTCAAGGAACATTCTTTTGTACTAGAAAAGAATAAATCATATGAGTTTTACCTAACTATTTAATAGTTTTGTTAGTTATTATTAACTAAAGAATTTGATTTAGATTCTATCCATTACATTAAATACTCGATCAAGACAAATATAGGTTGTAAACCTAATCAATATTTGCTTATGTGGGGTGGAGACTTTTATGAGGTTTGCTCTTTGCAACATGATGTCTCCATTAAATTCAAGATGTCAAGTCCACAATTCCTTTCTAACTATTAATGTATTGTGATACTAGTATTTTTGGACATTGATCTGGTCAAATTTTATTTTTGCTCAGATTTTACAAGGCATAGCTTTCATATGTTGTGATTAATTTTATTATTGGTTAGGTTTTAGATAATAGAAGCAACCCTAAGAGTTTAGGAACAAAGACACTAATAGGGAATAGTATTGAAGCATATTCAATAACATAAAAAAAAAATGATGGTTATATAGTAACGAGTAATTTTTATGGTGTAAAACATATATTTTTTATGAAGTAAGTTTTAAGTTAATTTTAGATATGATTAAAACTTTTAGTATTAAAGTAAAAAAATTATCAAAGGAAAATTTCTCGCAACTCTATAAGGTAGTTCCACTCATGTTAAATAGATCATACATACTCGATTTAATGTATTTATGAAACAAAGTTTCTTCCAGTTCTATAAACATTAAAACTAAAAAGAAAAATAAAATGTACAACAAGAATAGTAAAAAAATTTATTGGATAATGAGATAGATTCTAGACAGATTGCAACTCCCCTAATCCTATGGCCTCTATTAATTCATCCGGTTCGGTGAGAAAGAAAACATTGTTTTTTTTTTTTTATGGATATCTAGGATGGATTTGAGGATCCTCTCGTATATAGTATAGTTTATAAAGTACAATGCCACAAAAAATGTTAAATCAATACAAATATTGAATTTTAATATAACTTTGATATATATATATATATATATAAACACGGATGATTGAAAGATAAACTCAAACTTTATTTTAGAAGATCAGCTTGCTCATGAAATATAGCGATAAAAAATAAAAATAATGTACACGAGTATATATACAACCAAATTTGAGCCTAATAGCGTTATATATTTTTCGATCTCATTCATATTTATATATCAAGAGAAACAATTCTTCCACACTTGCTTGTTAGACTCATGATCGGTAATTTTAGTGAGGTGATATTGGCACTCTAATGTGGGTTAACCAAACTCCCACATTTTTCATTTTCTTTAAACTAATCATTTTACCCTTACTAATAGAAAACAAAACATTCTCCTTCCTCCTCACACCTTCACAGTTCCACAACAATCCTTCTTTCTTTTCCTCTTTACAAATTTCGAACTATTTTCTTTTTTTCTATTTTAGAAGTCCCTATACAATTATTAACGAGATGGAAGAAACACAATTTATTGAAAAAAATTTCACCATGAAAGAAATTTCTATTGTATCCACAGGAAAATAGGACATGAACACTTTTTTCTCAAATTTAACCCACGAGAGGGTAATAAGATAGATTTCGGGTAGATTAATTACGGTTTCTACAATTCTAGCCTATATTAATATATCAAGTTCGATGAGAAAGAAAAGCATGTTTTTTTTTATGAAGACTCGAGATGGATTTGAGAATCTTGTGTGTCATATATATATATATATATATATACAATGCAACAAAAAAATTTAAGCCAATATAAATATTGAATTTTAATATAACTTTGGTATATATTTAAACACAAATAATCAAAAGGCAAACTAAAACTTTATTTTAGAAGATCATTTGCTCATGAAATATAGCAATAAACAACAAAAATAATACATGAGTATACATATAACCAAATTTGAGTCCCAATAGCATATGCTATATGTTTTCCAATCTCATCCTTATTTATATATAGAGAGAAAAATTCTTCCACACTTGCTTGTTAGACTCATAGTTGGTAATTTTAAAGAGGTGATATTGGCACTTCAATGTGGGTTAACCACACTCCCATTTTTTTTTCATTTTAAACTAACCATTTTACTCTAATAATACAAAAAAAAAAAAAAAAATTCTCCTTCTTCCTCACACCTTCAAAGTTCCACAACAATCCTCCCTTCTCTTTCCTCTTTACAAATTTCAGAACTCTTTTTTTATTTTTTTCACAAGTCCCACATACTATTATTAATAGATGGAAGAAATACAATTTATTGAAAAAAATTTCACCATGAAAGAAATTTCTACTATATCCACAAGAAAATTAGACATGAAAATGTTTTTCACAAATTTAACCCACATAGGATAATAAGACAGATTCCAAATTTATTACACCTCCTCCAATCCTAGCCTATATTAATTTATCATGCTCGATGAGAAAGAAAGCATGCTTATATATATATATATATATATATATATATATATATATATATATATATAGTACAATACAACAACAAATGTTAAGTCAATACAAATGTTGAATTTAAATATGACTTTGGTATATATATTTAAACGCAGTATAATCGAAAGGCAAATTCAAACTTTATTTTAGAAGATCAATTGCTTATGAAACATAGCAACGAGAAAAACAAAAACAATACATGAATATACATACAACCAAATTTGAGTCCTCGTAGTAAATGCTATATGTTTTCCAATCTCATCCTTATTTGTATATCAAGAGAAAAATTCTCCCACACTTGCTTGTCGGAACTCATGATTGGTAATTTTAAAAAGGTGACATTGGCATTCAAATGTGGGTTAACCACATACACTTCCATTTTTTTTTAATTTTCTTTAAGTTGACCATTTTACCCTTAATAATACAAAACAATACTTTCTCCTTCCTCCTCACACCTTTATAGTTCCACTACAATCTTTCTTTCTCTTTACTCTTTACAAATTCTAGAAGTCTTTTTTTTCTCTTTTGTAAGTCCGACATATAATTATTAATAGACAACAAAAACATAATTTATCAAAAAAACAATTACCACGAAAGAAATTTCTATTGTATCCACAAGAAAATTAGGCATGAAATTGCTTTTCTCAAATTTAACCCATAGAAAGGAATGAGACAGATTCCGGACATATTACATCTCTCTCTCTCTCTCTCTCTCTCTCTCTCTCTCTCTCTCTCTCTCTCTATATATATATATATATATATATATATATATATATAGAATTTTTTCTATACTTATAATATAGTATAGTTTATATAGTACAATGCAACAACAAACGTTAAGTCAATATAAATATTGAATTTGAATATGACTTTGGTATATATATTTAAATACGGATGATCGAAAGGCAAGCTCAAACTTTATCTTAGAAGATCAATTGGTCATTAAATATAGCGACAAAAAAAAAATACATGAGTATACATACAATCAAATTTGAATCCTAACAACACACGCTATAGGTTTTCCAATCTTATCCTTATTTATATATCAAGGGACAAATTCTTCCCCACTTGCTTGATAGAACTCATGATTGGTAATTTTAGAGAGATTATATTGGCACTCGAAGGTGGGTTAACCACACTCCTACGTTTTTTATTTTCTTTAAGCTGACCATTTTACCCTTAATAATACAAAATAAAACTTTCTCTTTCCTCCTCATACCTTTACAGTTCCATAACAATCCTTCTTTCTCTTTCCTCTTTACAAATTCTAGAACTCTTTTTTTTTCCCTCTTTTGCAAGTCCGACATACAATTATTAATAAACAAAAGAAACACAATTTATTGAAAAAAAATTCACCATGAAAGAAATTTCTATTGTATCCATAAGAGAATTGGACATGAAAATGCTTTTCTCAAATTTAGCCCACAAAGGGTAATGAGACAAATTCTAGACATATTACACCTCCCCCAATCCTAGCCTATATTAATTTATAAGGTTTGATGAGAAAGAAAGCATGGTTTTTTTTTATATATCCAAAGAGACCTAGAATGGATTTGAGGATCCTTGTAATATATATATATATATATATATATATATATATATATATATATATATATATATATATATATATATATATATAGTTTGTAAAGTAGAATGCAACAATAAATGTTAAGTCAATACAAATGTTGAATTTTAATATAACTTTGGTATATATTTAAAGATAGATAATCAAAAGAGAAACTCAAACTTTGTTTTAGAAAATTAAATGCTCATGAAATATAGCGATAAAAAAAAAATACATGAGTATACATACAACCAAATTTGAGTCCCAACATCACATGCTATATGTTTTCCAATCTCATCCTTGTTTATACATCGAGAGAAAAATTCTTTCATATTTGCTTGTTTGAACTCTTGACTAGTTATTTTAGAGAGGTGGTATTGGCACTCCAATATGGGTGAACCACACTCCCACTTATTTTTTTCCCCCTTTAAGCTGGCCATTTTATCCTTAATAATACAAAACAAAACTTTCTCTTTCCACCTCACACCTTCACAGTTCTACAACAATCCTTCTTTCTCTTTCCTCTTTACAAATTCTAGAACTCTTTTTTTTTTTTTTGCCTCTTTCGCAAGTTCGACATACAATTATTAATAGATGGAAGAAACATAATTTATTGAAAAAAATTTCACCACAAAAGAAATATATATTGTATCCACAAGAAAATTGGACATGAAAATACTTTTCTCAAATTTAATCCATAGAGGGTAATGAGACAAATTTCGGACATATTACACCTTCCCCAATCGTAGCCTATATTAGTTTATCGAGTTCGATGAGAAAGAAAGCATTTTTTTTATTTATAAAGACTTGGAATGGATTTGAGGATCGTGTAAATACTATATATATAGTACAATACAACAACAAATGTTAAGTCAATACAAATGTTGAATTTTAAAATGACTTTGGTATATATTTAAGCACAAATAATTGAAAGGAAAACTCAAAATTTATCTTTGAAGATCAATTGCTCATGAAACATAGTGACAAAAAACAAAAATAATACATGAATATACATACAACCAAATTTGAGTCCTCACAAGTAAATGCTATATGTTTTCCAATCTCATCCTATTTGTATAACGAGAGAAAAAATCTTCCACACTTGCTCGTTAGAACTCATGACTAGTAAATTTAAAGAGGTGATAATGACACTCTAATGTGGGTTAACCACACCCCCACTTTTTTTATTTTTCTTAAATTGACCATTTCATCCATAAAAAAAAAAATAACTTTCTTTTTCCTCCTCACACCTTGACATTTCCACAATAATCCTTCTTTCTCTTTCTTCTTTACAAATTCTAGAACTCTTTTTCTTTTTCTTTTTTTCTCTTTTACAAGTCTTACATATAATTATTAATAGATGGAAGAAACATAATTTATTGGAAAAAAATTCACTAGAGAAGAAATTTCTATTCTATCCACAAGCAAATTGGACATGAAAATGCTTTTCTCAAATTTAACTCACAAACTTCTCTTAATGGTGAGACATTTATTATATTTCTTTATTAGTAATTTTTATTTATCTTCATATTTATATTAATGTGCATATATGCACTTCTACTTTTTGTTTTTTCATGGATAATATACATTATTCATTTGTTCTTTTTCAATTTTTGTTTTAAATTTGATATGGATTATTAGATTTGAGTATTGATTTTTTTTTTATTAAATTACTTAATTTGCAGATTTCATGTGTTATGTTTCACCATTTTCGTTTTAAATTTTAGCTATTGTCCTAGAATTTAGTTTGGTACATTCATTTGAAAGTTACTAATCATTTTTTTATTATAATTTTTAATATTAATGGTTATAATTTTAGTTATTTTCCAAATTACATTTGTATTTATGCTAATTATAATGTTAATTTCGTAAAAGAACTTCCTTTTTTTATTTAGGATGCTTGGAATATTGTAGGTAATTTTGTAATAATATTTTTTTTCCTAATGAATTTGCTTTATTTACTTCATTCACAATTAATTATATTTTATGACTTTTTTTTGTGCAAATTTTTATTGTGAAGAAGAATTGACTTGAATTATACTTGATATTTATTTTTTCTAGTCTTTTTTTTTTAAAAAAAAAGCTATATTTGGAAGTTCCTTTCTAGAGACAATTATAATATGCATGCTTAATTAGATTGTTACATCTTGACATTTTGATTAAAGTTGTTATTTTTTTTTATTATTATAAATTTATGTGTTTACTTTTAACTTTTAATGGTTATTTATGTAGAAACAATTTGCAATTGCTAACTATTTTTTTTTACACTATTAATTTATTATTCATAGTTACGTTAGAAATATTTGTCAAGGGACGGAAATTTTTCGTAAAAAAGTTAAAAAATTATAGGACCAACAAATATATTTATATTTGAAGTAATATGTAAAAGTTAAAGATTGAAAGATTAAAATGAAAAAATAAAAAATAAAAAATCAAGTTCCTATGCCAAAATCTGATTGGTTATTGTTTACCCTACGAAGCTGTAGAAAAAGGGCAACGCAGACGATCAAGACCAAAATAATTTAATGGTTTTTTTTTTTTTTGGGTGTATTTATTATTTTCAATGAAGTGGGCGGGGACCGACCGTACTCCAATACTCTACTAATCTTAGTCTGATCTTTTTCACCTCTCATTATTCCTTTTCTTTTCTTTACCATTAATACTCCTTTTTTTTCACAAATCTTATGCAGTGTGACAATTTTTTAGTAATTTATTTATTTACCTGCGATTTGGGTCACCATTTCTCCAAGATATAAAGGACATTTCAATTAAACTGAAAACGAAAAAAAAAAAAAACACTTCGATTGGGTGGAGGGGTCAAAAGGAGATTGATAAATTCATGATTTTTTTTTTAATATTCATGGATCAATCTAATTAATTAAAGACGTATAAGATGAGATTCACATTAAAATTGATAATTTATGAGAACTTTATTTTAGCAATTAAATGAAATTTCATAGAATTCATCCATGCATTTTAGCAATTTTATTTTTACAGAATGAAATTAGATCGTCAGGTGCTCCAAATAGTGTGCAAATTGATAAATAATTAAAAACAGACTGGAAAGAATATGAATTTATGGGAAGCAGAGACCACGCTTTTAAAGCCCCAAATGACTCACAAATCTACCTTTGCTTTCCTCCTTTAAATACTTCCAAGCTTGCAACTTTAGGAATTGGAGAAGGTCATGGACCACTCGTAGCTAGGGTAAGCACATAATGGTACGTTTTTGAAAAGCCACACCATTGTGTGATATAATTTGGAGATGATTTATAGGTTCTGAATTAATTTGATAACAACTTGCCATTAAAAAATCATTAAATCTTCTTTTTTTGGTTGAATGGAAAGGATGCCATCGGCCAGCTTTTACACGTTTCAAGACTAATTTCTCTTTCGATGTAGCTAAAAGACATTCTCAAACATACGATTTCAGATATTTTGAAAATAAATTTTCAGAAATACTAGCTATAAGAATCAAACCATAAATCTTACCTACAAATCAACATTTGCTTACCAACGAACTACAATCTTGTGGTTAAAAAAAATCATAAGCTCTTTTGATTTTCAAATCTAAGCATCTTCTGAAGTAAGAGGTTAATGACCAATAAGAATATCCTCTTCATTATTAGGCTACTCCCTCAAATGTATAAAATTTGAAATTTATGGTGGATAGAAAATTTAGCCTAAAAATTAGAACACTCGCAGTTTTATTTTCTGTCAATGAATTGTGTACAAAGATCATGGAAAATCATGATGTGCAATGTTCATTAATGTTTAAATTTCTGAATTTTTTTTAGTAGGAAAAAAAAACATGTTGAATTTCTGCCCATCTGGTGTGGTATGCAGAGAAATTTGAGGAAGCTAAAAAATACAGAAAAAAAACATGTTGAATTTCGGTTCGAACATGGATAACCTACTTAAAATCCAATCAAAAATCTACTTAAAATTCTTGCATATATATATATATCATCATCATCATCATGACTTTAAAAATGGTGAATATATTGGTGCCTCAGTTGCAAACAAGACTTCTCATTGCTTCTATCCTATCCCCACACTCCATGTCAATGGGAACCTTTGACTAAGGAATCTTGATTGGTTGGGGATTGCAACCCCATGTGCAAGCCAAGTATACATCGATTTTATACATTTTTTAATTTTTTAAATAATATATATTTTCTGGCTTTTCGTGTTTCTAATTGGGATTTTCTGTACGTACGTACATCCATCCTATATATTCCTGCCCTTTTATTTCACAACAATAATTTTTATTTCAGAGCAATGATGCTTATACATGTTACTACTAGAGTATTAAATAAATTTCTTTGTGCCTTTATTTGTCATATTTTATAATAAATAACAAAGTTAATATATATACAACAATATAATTCTCAAAAAAAAAAAAAAAAAAAATTGATAGCACCTTCTCCACCTCCAACCGAAGATGTAAAAGAATTTTACTTCTCATGTTCTATTGATTTGAACCTCAAACAAAACGTTTTTTGATCCACCTACTAAAATTCTTCGATTGAATTACCATCCAAAATTATTATAAATTTTTAAGATGAAATTTACCAAAAAAAAAAAATTACTTCATATAATCTCACTCAAACAAAAATCATTAAAAATCCTCAAATGATAAGTTTTGCAACTATACATCTATTAATTCTCAATAAACTTCTCATGCAAATAATGTCCTCAATTGAGTTTAAAATTAATTGCATAAAAATTTTCTTGTACAGAAAATATTATCAATTGAGGAATTCTAATAAATAATTTAGAAAATTTTCAGCTTGGATATCCAATTGATAGCTGGTAGATAACTTTGAGACTAATCTGAAATTTTTATAAATTAATAATTCATATATGTTCAAACATCGACGACTTCTCTTCTCTCTCTTCTTCTCATCTCTTCTCTTCCCTTCCTTTATTACCCCTCAAAGAATTGAAATTACAAATAAATCAATTTGCTTTGAAGTGGACTTCTGTTCTCTTCTCTTCTCGTCTCTTCTCTTCCCTTCCTTTATTACCCCTCAAAGAATTGAAATTACAAATAAATCACTTTGCTTTGAAGTTCTCCATGATGTGCTAGTTAATTCTCCCCTCAATCATGTGCCAATCTTCTTTGGATGTCAATATTTATCATTACCTAACATACTTGGAATGGTGTTCGAGATCAAATCATTTTGATTTTGACAATTAACAAGTTTTATCCAAAATCGTGGTTGATTTTGCACCACATGCATGCAACTGGTTTATAGATATGGATTCAAATGTCTCGTGTGCTAATGACATCATTACTTGACAGATTTGTCAAGAAGACAAGCTTAATACACGATAAATTAGAAGTTGTTCAAGTTTTTAAAAACACATGCTTAAGACCAGCTTTAGCATGAAAACACAATACGCAACGAAGGCATGAAAGCACCCCGCCCCACTACGCAAGACGAAAATGTTAGTGTAAAAGAGTTTTAGCGGTGCTTCAGTAATAATGTTCTGAATAGATTTAGATAACAATGATTACATAACTTAACAGTCGTTATATAATAATTTTAAAACGATCATAATCATAACTGTTTTTTAACTATATTTGTGATTTAAAACTATAATACTCTGGTTAATAAGTCATCTCTTTACTTATATGTACATATCCTAATTAGAAAACTTTATATATCTCATCCTACAAAACATATTTTTGCAGTCTTTTATTATTGTATTTATATCAAAACCACAAGTTTATGATACATATCTGTCATGCTAAAAATATGTTTTCGCAGTGTTTCATCATTACATCTATATTGAAATCGAAATTCATCCCATACGGAGATTATTTGTAATTCCATTACCAACCCACTTGTAGCAGGGCTTCAACTAGGCACTAAAGGAGGCACAGAGCAATCTCTTAATCAAAGTGCCAATGGTTCTTGGTATCTAGCATCCTCTTTAAAGATATATGCATCATCAAACAGTTAACTTTGCAGTAACATTTGACTTAAGGACTAATGGACAATGAGATCATCTAAAAAAGAAAAGAAAATAGTCTGAAAAATCGAAAGAGATTAAAAAAAAAAAAAGACAAAAAAAAGAGAATTGGAATTTGACTTTCAACAACTACCCAACAAACAAAAGCACTCCACTAAGCTAGAAGCAAGTTGATGTTGCATGTGGGGATTGGGGCCCGGAGTCACAAAAGTTAGAGCTACCCTATGATTGCTCAAACGAACATTATTATCAATATTGGAGCAATTATTCTGTAGTAGGAAAACTAGTGGACAAGACAAGACCCTACTTGATCTATCTGAATGGGAACAAGTGGTTGTAAAATAAAAAAATATATATATGTCAAAAGGAAGTTACTGTAATAAGAGAAGAAATTGGATAATGCACAATATTTGTGTGTACGGGCCACAGTGGTATGCAATATTGAGTCATTATTATTGTTTCCACACCTAGATAGAAAATTCTAGGGTTGGGTCCAATGTATAATAATAACACTCTCGTTGGAAGTCAATTGTGGCTACTTAATTTGTAGACGTATGAATTGATGTGTTGACAATGTTGATCCAATAATATAAAATTTAATGGAAACCAACGATGAGTTTTTATTATTTGCTAGCACTGCTAACTTCTTCTTAGACATTATTGTATTTTGTGTACTTACTCTTTTCTTTAATGGAGTGTTTCTCACGGATTCACGATCCTTTAGTTGAAAAAATATATAAAAATATTGTTATGATTGCATGTTCTTTCTAGTGATATCTTATTATATTTATATATAGGATTATGTAAAATATAGAAAAAATCACAGTATAATATAAAAAATATAGGTAACAATATATGAAATTACAATATACAATATAATAAAATATTTATGAATACAATATAGAAAAATACTTATGATTTAATACACTCTTCCGAGTTGAAAAGGATAAAGAACCCACATGAAGCTTGGGAGGTTGGAAGTAAAGAAAAGAAGGCGGTCAACATCTAGAAATTTAGTAACATTGAGAATTTGATTCTAAGAGGAAATGAATTAACGAGAAAAAAACCCTCACTTACTTTATCCGAAATAAAATGAAAATCAACCTCGACAAGCTTAGTATGAGCATGAAAAACAACATTGATTGATAAGTAAGTGGCACTAAGATTATCACATCAAAAAGTTTATGAAGAGGGAGGTGTGCTAGCCAATTCATAGAGCGAAGAGTTGAATCTAAAGCAATTTGACAACACCACCAACAAGAGCTTTATATTTTTCTTCAATGAAGAAGCGAGTAACAATACGTATGTTTATTAGATTTCCAAGAGATGAGATTGTTGCTAGGAAAAATTATATAACCACCCATAGACTTATAATCATCAAGACTTCCAATCAATTAGCATCAATAAAAGTATGAAGTCAAAGAGATAAGTGTTTGTTGTGATGAAGAGCATGATGAAAAGTACATTAAAGATAACAAACGATGCCTTTAAAGCATGATGACAAGCATAAAATCATGCCATTTTTTATACGATAAACCCTATCACAAATATCAAATAGAAGCATTAGTTATATTCGTTAGATGGATTAACTTGTTAGTTGGTAAGTTTGTTAGATTAGTTCGTCGGTTACTTTGCTTAGCTGGAATATGCTTTGCTTGGCAATCCTTTAACTTAGTCGGCATCTTATATAAATAGACTTTCTCTGTTCAATAAGAATAACAAGAATAATTTTTGTCCATTTTCATGTTATGGTATCAAAGCCTTTTGCCGCGCTTTCCAAAATTTCTTTTGCCGCTCGATCTTTGGGTTCTTTCATTTTCTTTTCTTCGCAACTTTCTTTTCCATTTTCCCAAGAAACAAACATGCATAATATCTTACGTGGGTTTCACAATCTCTTTTCCAATCTTTTCATAAAATCTCTCATATCACTCCTTTGGTTGTACCGATCTTTCTTTTATACATCAATGGCGGAAACTCATTTTGCAAGCACGATTTCCGGACCCGAAGATCAACCTTCTAGTCCTTACTTTCTACATGCTAATGAAAATCCTTCATTAGTGTTGGTTTCTCCTGTTCTCTTTGATTCTAACTATCACTCATAGGCAAGATCCATGAAAATGGCATTGTTATCAAAAAATAAACATAAATTTATGGATGGTTCTATTCCAGCTCCTACGATGGTCGATCCTTTGTACTCTAGTCGGGAAAGGTGCAACACTGATAGTGCTTTCATGGCTAGTCAATTCGGTTTCCCGTTCTATTACTCACAACATCCTCTCGGTTGAGACACAACAGCTTAGGTTTGGAGAGATCTATGAGATAGATATTCTCATGGAGATTCCTTTCGTATTGCGGACCTACAAGATGACATTTACGCTCTTCATCGTGGTAATGAATCCGTAACACAATATCTCACTCAATTAAAAATCTTTTGGAAATAACCGATGAATCTAAAGCCGAGTGCCATCTTATTCCCGCAATCCCCGATGTAATTGTGAAGCTCTTACAAGTTGTGAAGGATTGTCAAATGAATGACTATGTGATCGGATTTCTAAAAGGATTGAATAAAAATTATTCCATAATTAAATCACAGATTATGCTTCTCGATCCCTTGCTCGAGATCAACAAAGTATTTTCACTTGTTATTCAACAAGAGAGGCAAATGTCTTTAGTGTCCGCCTCACCTAAATCACACACCGAAGCCCCATCCACTCGCCTTCATGAGCAGAGGAGTCTCTACCTTCAATTTTCAACGAAAGTTCATGGGATTTCAAGGAGGTTCATCCACTGGACCAATGTGTTCTTACCGTGGTCTACGGGGTCATATGGCAGATACATGCTACAAAAAGCATGTTTTTCCTCCAAGCTACAAATCCAAAACCGGAGCTTTTGGAAATGGTTTCTCTTCTTCCGGGTCTATTAATATTCATCAACGAAGGAATCCTACAAATCGGATTAAAGCAGCTAGTTTATCTACGGAGCGATGCGTATGTCCGGGCATAGTGTTGAGAATCTTGAATTTGCTGAGTATCCCAATCCCGTTGCAAAACATAACACTTGTGTTACATCGCCTCCTTCCATTTCTCTCACACAAGACCAATATGCAAACCCGATGGCTTTAATTCAATCTCCTATAATCGACTCTCCGATCCACATCAACTCCCTCCAAACTAATTTTTCTTCTTGCCATATGACAGTACCTTAGTATCTTCATGTCATTTCAATTCTCATGCTTGTCCGTCTGTTTGGATTTTAGATACGAGCTAGATACGTAGTGCTTCTTAAACCTTTTTAGTCAATATCGCCTTATTTCTAATATGCTTATTAAGTTGCCAACTCGGTCAACAAGCTTCAATTACTCACATTGGTACTGTCCCTCTATCATCATCCTTGGTATCGCTTAATGTCCTATATGCACCCTCATTTTCTTATAACTTTGTTTCGTTGCTAAATTAACTTTTGATTCACATTGTTGTTTGATCTTCA